TTGCTTTTAAACATTTTAGCCTTGTTGGATATATTTTAAGTGCAGGCAAGCAAATGAAGAGTGGTTTTGTTTTGTTTTTCCTCCAGCATGAAATAAACCTTGGAAATCTCTCAGATGTATAAGATCTCTCTGCTGTTGCAAGCACTTAATGACCAGCTAGATGGGACTACCGTGGTACATTTTATATAACTGTAACCAATAAAGTAAACTTTTTAAAAACTTGTGAAGAACTTGCTTTTTGTAGCTAAATGTGGACTATGAGAAAAACATCTAGAAGGAATTAAGTAAGCTTGCATCCTTTAGATAATAACACAGAGCTCAGCAAAGCAAATATACATAAATCCTTCAGGGGCGTTTGTTGTTGGTTTGGGTAAAATTAATACCTTGAAATAATACCACTACAAATGCAAGGGCATTAGACTTGTGTAATAATCAGTGCTCTTTTGATTTTTTTTTTTGGTAAGAGGTAAATAAAATATTCCATGTACACAATACTTAAAATTTTATGCCCTGATTGTATTCCTATTTTCTGAAATAGTTTATCACAAAACTAAATGTTACGGTTCATTGAACAATTTGGATTTTTAGAATGTTGCATTCCAAAGCAAGGAGGAATTATGACATGCCTGATATCCAAGCTAAAATCTTCCAGTAGCATAGCTGTTACAATTTACCAACTTAAGACCTGCCCACCTACCATGACACTTAGTTTAATTTATCGTGGTTCAGACTGTAACTGACTCCATGCATCTGAAGAAGTGTGGTTTTTTACCCACGAAAGCTTATGCCCAAATAAATCGGTTAATCTTTAATGTGCCACCGGACTCCTTGTTGTTTTTGTGGATACAGACTAACACGGCTACCCCCTGATACTTGTATTAAGTTAATCTTTATTTATAGACCTCTTCGAATATCCATAATTAAAGCTGCAGGAACAAGTTAATATGTTTTACAGTGCATGAAAACACAGGACAAGATATCGTGTGATATTCTCCCATGATTCCTTTCACTGTATACACAGACTTGCCATTGAATGATGGGAAATATCCAAAATTGAAGTCAGATGACTGCCTATCCAAATAAATACCTTTATTTATTTGGATGAGATTCTCAGACAACTCCATGTTTACTTCCTGGTATGGAAGTAAATACCACACTACAAGTATTTATTTTTGTAGGCTTTATGCTACCCATACCAGGGGTGCCAGTCAGAAGCAACTGGCATAGTTCTGCAGAAAACCCTGTGAAACATTTCACATTTTTAACATGTTTAAAATATTCATGCTGCTCCCTCTAGTAGTAATCAAACCTTTTAACCACTTAAAAATTGTAAGGAACGCAGGGTCTATCTGTGCTAAAGTACAGTCCCAATGAGGCTATGTTTTTATGGTCGTTTTGTTCTTGAACATTGTTTTATGCATAAAAACTAATTGCTGCAAATAAATTGTGGATGAGCAAATACTTTTAAAGGCATTTTGTATGTGGCATAATGTTGTGCACTGTAGTTTGATGCCTAGTGTGGTCTAGACACTAGAATGCTGCAGTGACTCGCTGTTCGTGTTGGTTACATTAGCAATTGTATAACTGTATTCAGTTGAATAGGATGTGACACTGTAAAATGTATAACTGGTTATGTTTTGCAATTTTTGGTGATTGAAAACATTTTATTTATTTATTACTTATGCATAGTTACATGGCACACTCCAGGAAAATTAAGAAGTGTGAAACCAGTTTAGAAAAGCATCCTACACATTACATTAGATATTAGATTGAGATTTTTAAAAGTTGCCTAAGGACTATAGATCCATTTACCTATTCATTTCCAGTCCTTCCAACATTGGCACTAAAACTTCTCATCAAATGCTTATTTAGTGCTCAGACCACTGTCCCATGGGCGGTTGTTCACCACAATTTGGCACCTTGTGATTATTTTCAGCAGTAAGATCACCAATGAATTAGTCACTACTCTCCTGGTTTTGATGTTTTGGTAGAAGCTTCTATTGCCATTGTATCTTGCCTGTTCTGTGATTGTATCCTTCACTCTGTAAGGCTCTCAATCTAGCATCTTTCACAAACACAGAATTCATGCACAGCCTTTTCCAAAGGGAAAAATGCCAAATAGTATAGATCTGCATTCCAAAATGAAATCTGATCTTTTTCAAGAGAGTACAGGTATTACCATTGCTAAAAGAGGTGACCGTAAATAGAACGTGCTCTTCAAAGCAACTCTTTTCTCCCATATAAGCAATTTTACATTTACCATTGCATCTCATTTACGTAATTGACTGACTACCCTGTGGATTTATATAACCATCACTTTATGATCTGCACATGGATGCAACAATGAAGGTGGCTGAAATATTTGGACTCAGGCAATGAAAACATTAAGCTTTTCCCTCTTACCTAGAGACTATACCTGACATATTGGTAAGATGAAGTGAGAGGTATCCACTTGATATTTAATACATACTCTGGCACTGTAGTCTACCCTTCTACGGAACTAGTGAGCTAGTAGGTCTTTTCCACCTCTTTTAACTACTATTATCTTCTAGACTAGCAGGAGTAGAAATTAGTCCTATAGACTAGGACTAGTAGTGTAGGGAACAATGCTGCCCTGGCAGGACTGTGGATTAGCTCTCATACTATCTCTAACATCCTTTTATCAACTGCCCCAGCCAGTTCAGGAAGCTGTTGCAAACATGTTGATTACCCCATGAGAGCTCGCCTCCGTGAAGTTGCCCCATTGGCTGACTGGCTTCACAGACAGACCAGGTGATATGGCCTGACCTCCTGGCTCTGCCCCACAATCCTATCCTGGCTGGGAAAGTCCAGTCTGTCTTCTAAGATGCATTTCATGTGTTTATTCTGAAATTAAGGCTTTGTATATTAACACTGTTACATTTTGTGTGTCCGCTTTTCCCATTGTGAGCCCTTCTTTTAAAGCTGGTGGTTGAATTTGAGGGTAAAATATTACTTTGCAGTAAAGACATCTTAAAGGTTCAGTCAAACAGCTGTTAGTGGTTTTAAAATGTTTATGGGAAATTAATGTATAATTTTCCTTTTTAACCATAAAGTACAGAAAGGATTTGTAATTTCCTATCACTTTTGTTTTGTTCTTGGATGAATCTTCCTTAAATATTTGGTGGTCTCTCATTTCCATATTTTATTGCAATTTCCCATTTTATTTTTAATTCCAGATTACGTTTTCAAAAGTGAATTTTCGTCAGATCTGAGATCTAGCCCTCCTCTTTTGATCTTCGGATCTATAGACATTCAGGTACTACAGCGAGAGGTGGGACAATAAAACCCCTCAGAGTTACGAACACTTCAGGAATGGAGGTTGTTCCTAACCCTGAACAAAACATTATGGCTGTTTTCAAAAGTTGACAATTGAACATTGACTTAATACAGCTTTTAAACTTTACTATGCAGAAAAAAATGCTGCTTTCCCTTTATTTTTATAGTTTAACACAGTACTGTACTGTATTTGCTTTTTTTGCGGGGGGCGGGGGTCTCTACTGCTGCCTGATTGTGTACTTCCAGTTCCAAATGATGTGTGTGGTTGACTGGTCAGTTCGTAACTCTGTGGTTCTACTGTATATGAAACATACATTCTTTTCTATGTATGTTATTTTTTGTGTCCTTTCACCCTTTAAGAACTATTCATTTTTTGCCCCCACTAAACACAAGAAAATGTGTGTATCCTTCAAACTTGGAGTGGGGTAGATGTCTTGATTTTTTTATTTGTTTATTTGTTGTTGTTGTTTCAGTTAATTTAATAGATGTTCCTTTGGGGCACATGAGCTCATTCCCCAAGGTTTTTTGCAGATTATAAATTACAGTCAAAAGTCTTTTTCTTAGTCCCATTTTTCTGTAGGTATCGAAAGCTTAATCCTAAAGTGCACCAGAGCTCTGCATTACGTAACGGGGCTCCCACACCAGGAAGGGATAGCTCAGGAATCCTCAATAGCCTGTTAATGGCAGCTTTAAAGGCCCCAGCTGCTACCAACAGAGTAGCACCAGCAGCAGAAATGGGGCTATAAACTCATGGATCTGGCTGTTAGGGTCTATCTCCAGTGTAAGGGATTCCACGGGGGACTCAGAGCTGGTGTCATGGCTGTACGTACCTCCCTAGTTTCCCCCACCTGTAGGGGGTGAAATTCACCCATTCACAGTGGCCCTACACACCACTTAAACCTAATGTTGAGATCTTAAATGGGACGTTGTGCATTCCTGTTACTCTGGGGCAAATTGCGCCCTGAATGAATAGCTGAAAATATTGGTGGACGAGAAATTATCCAGCCTTTTTTTTCAATCCAGCTACATCATTTGATTCCGTGACCACCTCTGGTATTGAATTTCACATGCTGTGTATTGTGTTGTACACTCTCTTCAGAAGACACCTATCCCAACTCACTACATTCATAGGATAAAATTCACCAAAATGTTAAGTAGGCTTCACAGAGCTTCCACACTGAATAAAGAAATCAGTGGGGGAAGGGGGTTTAAATCTTATCAAGGTGTTTATTCTACAAGAAACAAATGAGCATAATCTTTAGTGTTGATAGTCCTATTCCCTTATTTATTTTAAACCAGTTTTGTTTGTATGTCTATTAATGGGCCTATCATCCTGATTAACCATAGGGTACTTTTATGCTGCATTTTGATATTACATGTCTTGTTGGCTGCAAGTAATCATATGCATTGTATAGCCTTACAGGGAGCACTTTTATTTTGCATTATTGTGAGCAAGAAAAGATCCATGTTCCTGAAATCATCCCTCTATATAATGTGAATCTAAGTTGTGCACAGGATAGCTTGTGACAGCCTATTGCTTCTGTGTTTGTATTCTCTTTAGGTTCCCATACCACACCCATCACTGCATACCTGAACCCTTTGCAGAGTCAGCAAATTAAGCAGAAAGGCTAGCGTCTGTCAGTTGGAGTTTCCTCTGCATTTCTGTTCGTCCCCATGGGAAAAATGCATGTATAGTACTTTTTTAAAGTTAATGTGCTAGGTGGTGGGGTTGGGGAAGTCAAGTAAAAAATTTGATTATTTGTCTAATAGTATTAGAACCCCCACCAAGAGCAGGGTCTTATTCTGCTAGTTGCAGTACATATGCAGAATAAAACAATCTCTATCCCCAAAGAGCTTACAATGTAAATAGCCAAGAGAGCTAAAGGGAGGGAGGGGGAACAGGCACAGAGCTGTGAAGTGACTTATCCAAGGTTACACCTGCAGGTCAATGGCAGAACCAGGATTAGAGTCCAAGTTCCCTGACTCCCCAGTGCCCCCTCAACTGCATTTAGGCCAGAATGTAGTGAAGGTTTAGTAACTTTTGGTTCCTGTGTGGGTGAATTCTATGGCCTGGGATCAACCCCAAGAAGGTCCCATCTCTGGCACCAGCCCTAATGGCGCGCTTTGTTACTAAGCTGGGTCACTGGCAAGATCCTGGAGACAAAGTTGGCCTTTAAATATCCTTAGCCCAGATCATTTAGCCCTTTGGACAATAACAAAGCAGGGCTCTGAGACGTCGGTGTATGCGGGGAAGCCCCGGTGTGCTGTGCTTTTGGCAGTCCATGTTGCTGAAATTGTGCTGTTGCATTCTGCACTAGTTGCAGTTTTCTTATGGCTGATTCAAGCCCAAGTAAACTACGCTGCCATAATCCATCTGGGAGGTGATGGTGGGCCTGAGTATTGTGCCACAGTGTTCTAACTAATTAGCAATGGTAAAAGGTGGGTGCTGCCAAATGAAAGCCCAGCTTCAGCTAAGAGTCCAGAACTGCTAAACTGCAGGCTACTTTGAGCTGTTTGGGTGGCATATAAACCAGGGAGAAATAACTATTTTACTTTGCTAAGTGTAGTAAAGCAGCATGATAGGGTTAACTGGGTTAGCCAGAATACTGTGAGGTAGTCATGGTTCAGTTTTTGTGGAAGTTACACAGAGAGTGAGTGAGTTATGATGCAATTAAATAGAGCAGCAAGTTCCCAGCCTGTAGTCCTGTGAGCAGACTTGGTTTTGTTGCACTGAGTGTTCCGTTACAAACATATGTCCCTAAAATAAATTCAGGCCTAAATTCCCAAGGTGTGGGCCATCTGCAGCTCCCATTGAATCAACAGGAGCTGGAAGTGCTCGGCACCAATGAAAATCAGGCCATCAGCTTGTAAAATGACCTTGACGAGGAAATGCACCCTAGCTGATAAAGCCACAGATGAGAAGCTGGGATCTTGGGTTCTAATCTCAGCTGTTTAGTTACTGACTCCCTGTGCAACCGTGGTAAGTCATTTGACTTTCTGTACCATGGTCTGCTCACTAGGGAAACTAGGTAAAACGGAGGATCTCACTGATGACCAGGAGCTGCAGCTGACCTGACCTTTGCATGGTAAGTAAATTATAAAATGCAGGGTGTATTAGAGAATTAGAATTAAAGTCTTGGAAGTAATATAAAATTTTACAGCACAGAGACCCTAGAGCTTATAATAAAGCAAAACAATGCACTAAGGTGTAACTATTTAGGATCACCAATGTCCCATATTTAATTCTAAAAGAAGACTAATGCTTATTATTCAATTTTTTTTATTAGGATATCACAGCCCATGTTTTTGAGCCTTAGGCTGGGATTTTCAAAGAACCTGAGCATTAGGTGCTCAAATCCCATTGAAATTCAGTGGGAGTCGGGAGCCTGATTTTTAGACTCCTTTGTGAATCCCAGTCTGAGTATTAACTGTACCCACATTAGGGGGGTGCCTTGGTTTAACTGTCAGTGCAAATCCTGTGTTTAGACTAGTAAATAGATCCCTTTATAAATTCCAGCCTCAGTGCCTAAAATTAGGCTTCTAACTCCATATTTATGCCCCTATACAGAAAAGCTGTGTGCCTACACTTGCCATTGAAGTCCACGGGGCGTGCAGAAGCTGAGCACCTTTGAAACTCTGGCCACATCTATTAAGGTGCCCAAATATTTTCGTTGTTTCAGTTTTAATAAAAAAGATGTGAATACAAAGCTCTACGTCCGGGATGGGCAACCAGCAGCTGCATCAGGCCTACCACAGCCCAGCTCAGGGCAGGGAAGCTGGTGGCACCAGGTCCGGGAGGGAGGTGGGGTGTTAAGGTGGAGGGGCTGCCTGGGTGCAAACAGGCATCACATGACGCTGCAGTGAGAGGCAACAGTCTGAAGCAGGGGACCAGGCCCAGGCCTGTGGGACAGGAGCTGCCACTGCAGGGTGAGTGTGGGGTGGGCTCGCTCTCCAACCCCCCTGTTCCGGAAACTTCCACCCCTCAGAGGCAGGACTCGACCCAACCCCACCCCAGCTTGTGTCACACCCCCTGGGAGGACCCACTCCCAACACGCACCCCAGCCTGCCAGAAGGTTTTAGTGGATTTTGTGTTCCTCTACTGCCTTATAACTGCCCATCCCTGCTCTAGGTACCGTAATACATAATTAATACAGCAACATCCCAACAACATTAAAGTACTCAGAAAAGGAACTCTTCCAGCTTACTACCGACTAAAAAGAAAAAAGCTCCCCTATAACCTTTCATCTTCTGTGAAGCGCACTCGACCCTCTCCAAAACCCTCTTCAACAGATGTCTTTTGCAGCCTGCCTGGAAAGACACCAGATTTGGGCTATTTCAGATTTATATGATTGAGGAGCCTAAATTTAGGCACACAGATTTGGAAATGTTTGTCAAGGTCCAGTAACTTCCTCCAGTTGCTTAAATTGGACGGGCATTTTACTGCCTTGTAATGTTGCCCATGGACAGTGGGGGGCGGAGAAGAAAGCACATTCTTCTGGATTTCATGGATCAGCTGGACTTGTTAAATATGGAGCGTGTGAATTCAGTGTGGCATTACAGCAATATCAAGTTATTTAATTATCCTTCCTAAATTCAGGGGGAAACCTTTCTCATTGAGGTTACTTCTCAATTGTTGCACTCATTGATCAGAAATCATCCCAGGGGCTGACTAAATGATTTGAACAGCCTGATGAATATACGAGTTCAGTTGGAAGTAGATGGATTTGTCATTTCAGAATAAATTCCTGGAATAATTGCATGCAATCTATTCATAAAGCTGTCTAGGGAATAATACACATGGTTTGAAATGAAATATGAGGAAATAAATCTTTTTAAAGGTTCTAGCAATGATGCAAACTATGTTTCAGTGCATGTGCTAGTAATCATCTAAATAATTGATCATGATATGAAAAGCAAATAGGCTTTTACTTCTGGAGTTGTTGGTGTTTTAACTTTAAGTTTGGGGAAAGTTCTATGGGCTGCGTTACACATAAGGTCAGACTAGATGATCACTTAGTCCCTTCTATGAGCTAAAGTCTTCTGACCTTTTATTCCTAAAATGCTCGTTTTCTTGGCGTGTGTGTGTGTGTGGTTTAAACAGTGCACCATCACTCTGATACGAGGGATGGAAGAGCATGGTCTTCAGCTGTATACCATCTAATAGTTCCATTATCCCTATCTAATACAAATGAGTGATTCTCAGACTGTTTATCTTGTGGAACATTTAATTAATATAGGTCGGGCCATAGGCGCCGACTTCCTCTCTACCTCAGAGGTGTTCGACCTCTGCCCCAGGCCATGCCCCCACCCCTGCTCCTGCCTCACCTCTTCCGGCCCCACACTGCCTCTACCCGCCCTGCCTCTTTCCACCTCTTCCTTGAGTGTACCCTGTCCCAGCTCCTCCCCCTCCCTCCAAGCACCTCCTGTATGCCAAGGAACAGCTGATGCACGGTTGGTAGAGGTGCTGGGAGGGAGGAAGAGGAGTTGATTGGCAGGACTGCAGGCTGGTGGGGAGCTGCCTGCTGGTGGGTGCTAAGCACCTGCTAATTTTTTTCTATGGGGGCTCCTGCCCTGAAGCACTCATGAAGTCAGTGCTTGTGAGTGGGGCTGGGAGCTCTACCTATTATTCAGGTTTCCGACACGTCCCATTAAAAGATGCTGTTTTCAGTTGCTTATAACTTTGCCAAACTTTAACCATTTGGGCAGGAATTTTCCATACTGGTTGTCTGTCTCAAGCTGAAATAGTGGTTCGTGGGTTTGTTTTTTTGTTATTGTTTTTTTTGGGAGGGGGAGGTTTCAGCCAAAATAGATCAGCCATTTCCAAGAGCAAAGCCAGGGGAAAGTATGGAAAAGTAATGCTATTTTGCTCTTGTTAAAAAGTGCTTAAGACCTTATCTCTGAACAGGTGTAGCACTCCCCATGCTTTGGAGCAGGGACTTGAAATTTGGCAGAGGGTGGGGCCTGTCTGTCAGAGATGTGCCTTTTGCCATCCCCAAGAAAAACCATCTGGTTTTGACCAAGTTCTAATTCTTTGAAAAAATCAGTTTTGCAGATGCTCAATAGAGACATGCTAGAGCTTAGCAGATAAAATCTCCCAAGTGGGAGAGCTCTGTGTGGTGGCTTCAAAGGTTCCAACCCTGTTTGACCCATGTGGGTGTCAATAGGATGCCATTTCTGGTTTTGTTTTTTTTTTTGTCTTTTTTTAAAACCTGGGAAATGACACACACAGACTCTGTTAAAAGAAGGTTATTAAGGTTGCACAGTCAAGCATTCAAAAGTTAGGAAATTCCAGAATTTAAGCTGCTCGTGCAACCTTGACTTGGCCCCTTTGTACATGGACGTTATTATAGCCTTTAATTACATGACCACATACTGTTTTTCCACGGGACCCCTGCCACAATCAGTGCACAGGGTTGGGACCCGCTTTGGGGTTGAATCGGGGCATGTGGTGAAGGAAGCTGTAGGCCCCCTGATTCTGTGTTGCAGACACTGGATGGCGTGTATATAATGTAGTGATTGAGGCAGGGGATTGCAGGAAGAAAAAATGGATGGTCTCATGGCTAAGACGGGAGAATGCTTCGTCGGAGTACTGGGCTCTGTCCCTGCTTCTGCCTGTGTGATGCTGGGGAAATCACTTAAATCAGACTTCTCAGAGATGGTCACTAACTCTGTGTTTCTCATTTTCTGGAGGCCCAAAACTGAGACCTGGGGCCTGATTTGCAGAAGTGCTGAGCGCACGCAGTTGTAACTGAAGTCTATGGTAGCAGTGCTTGAAAATACAATGTTCTATTGTAATGCTATGAAATCTGAAAAATCAGGTCTTAGGTGTCTCAAAGTGGGCACCCAAAATTAATGGGATCTTTGGACCTTAATTTTTCTGTGCTTCCGTTCCTCATCTGTAAACTGGAAATAATACCCCCTCACCTTCCAGGGGGTTGTGAAGATTAATGGATTGATGTTTGTGAAGAACTCCGATACTATAGTGATCAGCCCCATAGAGCAGCCCAACAGGCAGTTCACAGGTCTGTCTCCAGAGCAGGGTTTTCATCATGTACTGTAAATAAGGTCTAGGGCCACACATTGAACAATGGGGTTAAAAAGAAAACATTGACTAGCAGCTCATTAAATGAACCCAGTCCAATCTGTATGTTGAATGTGGCAGGGATCCTGTGGAAAAAATAGTGTGTAACCATGCAATTAAAGACCATTTCATAATGCAGATGCACCCAGGGGCCCAGTTAAGGTTGCATGGGCAACCTTAATTCTGGCATTAGCTAACTTTGGAGTGCTTGATTGTGAAACCTTCATATAGTAGTCTTTTAACAGTTTTTGTGTGTGTAATCAGTATCAAGGCAGTGCAGAGACTTGGACAGATCAAAGCCCCTTTGTGCTGGGAACTCTGCAAACATACTCACGGTCCCTGCCTGGAAGAGCTGGCAATCTATATAGATTATTAGACAAAGTATGGGTGGGGAAACAGAGGTGCAAAAAGCTCATGTGACTTGTCCAAGGTGTCACAGCAGGTCCTTGGCAGAGCCAGATCTCCTGATTCTCAGTCCAGTTCTCCATCGATTGGAGCATCCTCTCTCTCCAAGATAAGAGATCCCTCTTGGGAGTAGGTTTCAGAGGGGTAGCCATGTACTCCTCATTGTTTTTGCTCTCAGGAGTAGCTCCTCTTCCAAAACCCACCTTCCCTGCAGCATCTTTACTGTTCCATTACATGAAATAGCAATATTAGGATAAGAAGAAAGCGATAAAAATTACAATAAATTCACAGTCATCTGACACATGTGGCAGTTGGAATAGGTACCCCTGTGCTATTTCTCCTCTGGGGGTAGAAATTTACATTTATTAGTACTGAATCGTCTCTCTCCCTGCTGCTCCCAGCTCTCTCTAGGTCACCTTACAGTTTGTCTTGTCACTCCTTGGTTGAGTTTACGTCAAAGAACAGCACGAAGCAACCATTCAAGTAAATGCACAGAAATACTTGATTTCTTGGCTTAGGTGGCGGGGGGGGGAAACCACACACCCACATCTAGAAGATTGACAGATGCTTTTCCGTAGTGACAATAGCAGGTTGTTCTGCAGATGATAGTTTGAGAACCGGTGACAAGCCTTCCAAAATAGGCATAGCACCTCATGCTGTGTGATCCTTTTAAGTTTCACAATCCAAGCAGGGCTGGCTGAGTCATTCCTTGGATCCGAGAACTGTCAAGGAGCTGTGAGAAGTGGCGTTGGTTGATTCAGCAGGTGACACTCCATTTTTCTGAGTCATTTTTGGCCCGGTGCCCAGGCTGAGTGCTAGATGGCATCGTGCTTCTGGAGCAGTGCCACCTTTCAGATGAGATGCAAAACAGGCGCTGACTGCTTGTCACTATGCCACTTAAGAAAAGTGAGAGGGTTAATCCCGGTACCAGGGCCCAATTCAAGGTAGAGCACAGAGTCTACATCAGTTCCTCCTGCGGTTTTAATTGGACACGTTTCCTTTCTTGTCCGAACCTGTTGTGTGCTGTTGCTCTGCATAGGCAGGGTACATACTATAGAAGTGAGAGTCACCGTACCCTGAAGGGGAAACTCGCAGCCAGAGGAGGGTAGGCGGTGTTTTCGTTGTTGCTCTCCCCACGAGGGTTCTGCTGGGGAGAAAGAAGCTTTTA